ACAATCCTAAAGCTCGGTGCTCAGAACATAGAGGACAAATCCTGTCATGGCCTGTATCGGAAGAAAAAGGCTGGGGCTGATCTTAGAAAGAAGTGAAGATCACAGTCACCTGCAACCTGCCATCCAACACAATAGGGCAAAATCTTGCCACTACCCTGGCCTAGACCAGCTGGGGTCCTTGATGTTCCCACTCAACACAAGCTGGTAGGTGCCCTCTAACAGGGCATCAGGGACTCTTTTCAGTATCTGTCTTACACTACAGCAATCAGTCCCAACCTCTCCCCTGCACCCTCACAACACCGGGGCTATTCACTCTGTTTTGTCTATTTAGAGTTCTTTTGCTTCAGATCTCTCCCAGGGTGAGACCCTGTTTTTCCAACTTCCCTTCACTGTGCACCTCACACCTACGAAAGGAGAAGCACGGCTAGTGATGGGTCTGTAGCCTTTTAACTCCCCGTTTTCCTCCAGACCCAGCATAACTGAGATCCCCTCAGTTACTACTGTTGTCTACCACAGAATATGCATGCATGCATTCATTCATTCTTTCATTCAATTTATGATGCTGCTGTCAACACGGTTTCTCCTTCTACTAAACTTTGGTGTGTGTGTTAGTCACTCAGTCGTGTCTGACTCTTTGTGACCCCATGGATTGGGGCCCTTTAGGATTCCTTAAAATATCAAAGTTGTGAACACTACGTAGGATCTACTATGTACTATGGACCCATTCCAAATTCCTCCCTGTAATTAAAATTCCATCCATAGTAATGCAGGTCTGTGACAAACTCTTCCATTACAGCAAAACAAAGCCCCATAGTGACCTAATCTGGAAAGACAAGATCCCAGGACCCATAGAGAAAGGAGACCAGAAAGGAAGGCAGGCCACAAAGAGGAAGGGAGTCAGGCTTCCCCACCCTCTGTACTCTTTGGCCTTCTGTGAAAAGAGGCTTTTAAGCTAGGTGCTCAAGGCCCGAAAAGCAGCTGTTGTCCAGTCTAGTGCCAGCACTTCCTGGTCCTGATCCATTCAGCCCTTCTATCAGAACTTTCTATTCTGATTCTACTTTTGAGAGTCTAGGAGCTACTGCAGGCAATGTAGCAGCAAACATTTCTATATTTTTGTGTTAATCTAAGCCTCTGTATTAATAAGGCATGAAACAGTGTAAAACCAGGAAGCAGCTTTTATCCTTATCATCAAAGGCCATACAGGACCATTCCTAATGTCCTCACCTGTCATCTCCTTGAAACTGAATCTGACCACCCAGTGAAAATGGGTACACACCCACCACGTTTCTCTCCGTCATGTCACCCCGTTTTATTTTCTTACTGTCACTTATCACTATCTGAAATCGACTCGGTAGTTTATTTATGTTCTGTCTCCACTCCCTAGAAGGAGGGGTCCCTGAGCACAGAACCCTTGTGAGCTTCAGTGTCTTGGATCCCCAGAGTCTAAAGCTGTGTCTGGTACGTAACTGGTGCTCAGTGAATATTTGCTTTATGAATGAACGGACGCACGGATAGCTGGGTGAAGGATGCCCTCTTAAAAGGGGCTCCGGGGCTACTTGGCTTTCTCTTTCTCTCCCTCAAACACTCAAGCCCCTATCCACAAACTAAACGGCCAGCAGAAACTTCCCACTAAATAGCTTGAAGGTCTAGGGCACACAGCTGACTTGGGAAGTCCGTACAGCGCTGAAGCGCATGTCCACACGCCACTCATAAACGTCCATCTTCGCATTATTCTTCTCGATGACTCTTAGAATGGGCCTGAAAACTAACGCCATCCCCATGCTCGCTCTCAGTCCTCCCAGAAATGTTCGCCACCACAGGGAACATAAGAAACTATCCACAAAATTAATTCAGACCACGGATAGGAATGAGCGGACCCGAATTCTGTACAACCGTAAAACAAACCGCCACATTTCCCATCAGCCACTGGCGCTGCCCACCCGGAAGGCCGCGCAGGAACTTCCTGTTGCTGTTGCTATGGCTTCGGGGGCGGGTCTTCAGGAGGCCGCTCTCAGTTCAATTCAGTCGCTCAGTCCTGTGTGACTCTTTGGGACCCCATGGGCTGCAGCACGCCAGGCTTCCCTGTCCATCACCAACTCCTGGGGCTTACTCAAACTCATGCCCATCCAGTCGGTGATGCCATCCAACCATCTCATCCTCTGTCGTCCCCTTCTCCTCCCGCCTTCAGTCTGTCCCAGCATCAGGGTCTTTTCCAGTGAGTCAGTTCTTCGCATCAGGTGTCCAAAGTATTGAAGTTTCAGCTCCGGCATCATTCCTTCCAAAGAATATTCAGGACTGATTTCCTTTGGATTGGCTGGTTGGATCTCCTTGCAGTCCAAGGGACTCTCAAGAGTCTTCTCCAACATCACAATTCAAAAGCATCGATTCTTCGGCCCTCAACTTTCTTTATAGCCCAACTCTCACGTCCAAACATAACTACTGGAAAAACCATAGCTTTGACTAGACGGACCTTTGTTGGCAAAGGAATGTCTCTGCTTTTTAATATGAGGCCGCTCTCCTGCCTCTCAATTGTAAATCCACTTCCGCGGTGCCCCCCCCCCCACCCCGAGCAGTTTTGTGGACTCCGCGCTCTAGCTACAGTCGCTTTGCCCTCCCGGTTTATTTTGCTCAGGTCCCTTAGTGGGCCTAAGAGCAGAGATTGGGCCGCGAAGAGAATCTCTTCCCAGGCCGTCTTCATCGCTCAGTGAAACTGCGGCCGCTTGATGGCAGTATAACGCTTTAATTGCGTGTCACTCCGCTCTTCACCCCGCCCTTCGTGTTTGGAAAAAAGTGCTCTTCGGACTCAGAACAAAAATTCTATCTCCATAGAGACGGGGCTGTTTTAGGGCGGCCTTGTTGCTCCCATTTCCTTCCTTAAATCTCTGTGGCAATCCGATGGGCAGAAGTGTGACAGTAAAATATTTTTTAATGTGAGTTTCTTTGATTATTAGCCCGCTTTTGTAAACTTTCTCGCCTGTGCTCCGTACCCCCCTCATTTTTTAAGCCGTTGTGTTGAGTCTCATGTAGGGCTTATTTTAGCTTTCTTTTGTTCATTAAATGAATTTCAGTTGAAAGCTCAGAAAGTATGAAGGTAAACAACACTTTAGTATTTTTGTGTTTTGTCCTTTATAACTGGTAGCATTTTTTAAATGTATTTTCCTATTCTAATAAACAACGTTTGAAAGAGTTTCATCTTATTTTACACTATCAAGATCAAACAGTATTGACCATTTTGTACCCTGATATTTTAAAAGTCCAAAAATATATGCTTTAAGCTTTCTCCTCTTTTCTCTATTTCCTTAGGAGAAAATTCCTGAAAGTGCAACACAACTTTTTCTTTTTCAGGGTTTGACAGGGTTTACCGTACCATTGAAAAGATTGAGTGTTACTTGAATTTATTCTTGGAATTGTTTTTAACTAAAGTCCCTGTTTGATGATGATGATGGTATTTTAAAATTGTGGTATAGTTAACATGTAACAAATATACATGCTTTTCTAATAGGGGTCAAATCTATTGCATTAAGGAAGAACGCCTCAGGCTCTCTTTGTCATACTCAGATTTGTCATACTCAGATACTATACCACAATTTTAAAATACCATCATCATCATCAAACAGGGACTTTAGTTAAAAACAATTCCAAGAATAAATTCAAGTAACACTCAATCTTTTCAATGGTACGGTAAACCCTGTCAAACCCTGAAAAAGAAAAAGTTGTGTTGCACTTTCAGGAATTTTCTCCTAAGGAAATAGAGAAAAGAGGAGAAAGCTTAAAGCATATATTTTTGGACTTTTAAAATATCAGGGTACAAAATGGTCAATACTGTTTGATCTTGATAGTGTAAAATAAGATGAAACTCTTTCAAACGTTGTTTATTAGAATAGGAAAATACATTTAAAAAATGCTACCAGTTATAAAGGACAAAACACAAAAATACTAAAGTGTTGTTTACCTTCATACTTTCTGAGCTTTCAACTGAAATTCATTTAATGAACAAAAGAAAGCTAAAATAAGCCCTACATGAGACTCAACACAACGGCTTAAAAAATGAGGGGGGTACGGAGCACAGGCGAGAAAGTTTACAAAAGCGGGCTAATAATCAAAGAAACTCACATTAAAAAATATTTTACTGTCACACTTCTGCCCATCGGATTGCCACAGAGATTTAAGGAAGGAAATGGGAGCAACAAGGCCGCCCTAAAACAGCCCCGTCTCTATGGAGATAGAATTTTTGTTCTGAGTCCGAAGAGCACTTTTTTCCAAACACGAAGGGCGGGGTGAAGAGCGGAGTGACACGCAATTAAAGCGTTATACTGCCATCAAGCGGCCGCAGTTTCACTGAGCGATGAAGACGGCCTGGGAAGAGATTCTCTTCGCGGCCCAATCTCTGCTCTTAGGCCCACTAAGGGACCTGAGCAAAATAAACCGGGAGGGCAAAGCGACTGTAGCTAGAGCGCGGAGTCCACAAAACTGCTCGGGGTGGGGGGGGGGGCACCGCGGAAGTGGATTTACAATTGAGAGGCAGGAGAGCGGCCTCATATTAAAAAGCAGAGACATTCCTTTGCCAACAAAGGTCCGTCTAGTCAAAGCTATGGTTTTTCCAGTAGTTATGTTTGGACGTGAGAGTTGGGCTATAAAGAAAGTTGAGGGCCGAAGAATCGATGCTTTTGAATTGTGATGTTGGAGAAGACTCTTGAGAGTCCCTTGGACTGCAAGGAGATCCAACCAGCCAATCCAAAGGAAATCAGTCCTGAATATTCTTTGGAAGGAATGATGCCGGAGCTGAAACTTCAATACTTTGGACACCTGATGCGAAGAACTGACTCACTGGAAAAGACCCTGATGCTGGGACAGACTGAAGGCGGGAGGAGAAGGGGACGACAGAGGATGAGATGGTTGGATGGCATCACCGACTGGATGGGCATGAGTTTGAGTAAGCCCCAGGAGTTGGTGATGGACAGGGAAGCCTGGCGTGCTGCAGCCCATGGGGTCCCAAAGAGTCACACAGGACTGAGCGACTGAATTGAACTGAGAGCGGCCTCCTGAAGACCCGCCCCCGAAGCCATAGCAACAGCAACAGGAAGTTCCTGCGCGGCCTTCCGGGTGGGCAGCGCCAGTGGCTGATGGGAAATGTGGCGGTTTGTTTTACGGTTGTACAGAATTCGGGTCCGCTCATTCCTATCCGTGGTCTGAATTAATTTTGTGGATAGTTTCTTATGTTCCCTGTGGTGGCGAACATTTCTGGGAGGACTGAGAGCGAGCATGGGGATGGCGTTAGTTTTCAGGCCCATTCTAAGAGTCATCGAGAAGAATAATGCGAAGATGGACGTTTATGAGTGGCGTGTGGACATGCGCTTCAGCGCTGTACGGACTTCCCAAGTCAGCTGTGTGCCCTAGACCTTCAAGCTATTTAGTGGGAAGTTTCTGCTGGCCGTTTAGTTTGTGGATAGGGGCTTGAGTGTTTGAGGGAGAGAAAGAGAAAGCCAAGTAGCCCCGGAGCCCCTTTTAAGAGGGCATCCTTCACCCAGCTATCCGTGCGTCCGTTCATTCATAAAGCAAATATTCACTGAGCACCAGTTACGTACCAGACACAGCTTTAGACTCTGGGGATCCAAGACACTGAAGCTCACAAGGGTTCTGTGCTCAGGGACCCCTCCTTCTAGGGAGTGGAGACAGAACATAAATAAACTACCGAGTCGATTTCAGATAGTGATAAGTGACAGTAAGAAAATAAAACGGGGTGACATGACGGAGAGAAACGTGGTGGGTGTGTACCCATTTTCACTGGGTGGTCAGATTCAGTTTCAAGGAGATGACAGGTGAGGACATTAGGAATGGTCCTGTATGGCCTTTGATGATAAGGATAAAAGCTGCTTCCTGGTTTTACACTGTTTCATGCCTTATTAATACAGAGGCTTAGATTAACACAAAAATATAGAAATGTTTGCTGCTACATTGCCTGCAGTAGCTCCTAGACTCTCAAAAGTAGAATCAGAATAGAAAGTTCTGATAGAAGGGCTGAATGGATCAGGACCAGGAAGTGCTGGCACTAGACTGGACAACAGCTGCTTTTCGGGCCTTGAGCACCTAGCTTAAAAGCCTCTTTTCACAGAAGGCCAAAGAGTACAGAGGGTGGGGAAGCCTGACTCCCTTCCTCTTTGTGGCCTGCCTTCCTTTCTGGTCTCCTTTCTCTATGGGTCCTGGGATCTTGTCTTTCCAGATTAGGTCACTATGGGGCTTTGTTTTGCTGTAATGGAAGAGTTTGTCACAGACCTGCATTACTATGGATGGAATTTTAATTACAGGGAGGAATTTGGAATGGGTCCATAGTACATAGTAGATCCTACGTAGTGTTCACAACTTTGATATTTTAAGGAATCCTAAAGGGCCCCAATCCATGGGGTCACAAAGAGTCAGACACGACTGAGTGACTAACACACACACCAAAGTTTAGTAGAAGGAGAAACCGTGTTGACAGCAGCATCATAAATTGAATGAAAGAATGAATGAATGCATGCATGCATATTCTGTGGTAGACAACAGTAGTAACTGAGGGGATCTCAGTTATGCTGGGTCTGGAGGAAAACGGGGAGTTAAAAGGCTACAGACCCATCACTAGCCGTGCTTCTCCTTTCGTAGGTGTGAGGTGCACAGTGAAGGGAAGTTGGAAAAACAGGGTCTCACCCTGGGAGAGATCTGAAGCAAAAGAACTCTAAATAGACAAAACAGAGTGAATAGCCCCGGTGTTGTGAGGGTGCAGGGGAGAGGTTGGGACTGATTGCTGTAGTGTAAGACAGATACTGAAAAGAGTCCCTGATGCCCTGTTAGAGGGCACCTACCAGCTTGTGTTGAGTGGGAACATCAAGGACCCCAGCTGGTCTAGGCCAGGGTAGTGGCAAGATTTTGCCCTATTGTGTTGGATGGCAGGTTGCAGGTGACTGTGATCTTCACTTCTTTCTAAGATCAGCCCCAGCCTTTTTCTTCCGATACAGGCCATGACAGGATTTGTCCTCTATGTTCTGAGCACCGAGCTTTAGGATTGTCCATACTCTGCGTATAATTTAGCAACGTTATTTTGGAGACAGAATTCCCTGGAGAGACAGGGGAAAAGGGATGTTAGAGGAGGAGGAAATGTCTGCCATGGTATGCTTTGACTAAAAATAACAATAATTGGCTACATCTGTTTCAGTTTTAACATGTGGCGGGCCCCGTGCCAAGGGCCCTCTCCCTAGTTCCTCATTTAATCTTCACAGTAACACGGAACACTGGTACCCTATTCCCACTTTACATAGGAAGAAACTAAGGCTTAGTTTAAGAGATTCATGTGAGGTTAAACAAATACAGCCATAGTTTCCATCCAGCTTTGTCTCTAGTCCAGGTTTTTTCTGAAAGTGTTGTCCCCAGAACAATAATAGTATCAGTGTTGCCTGGGAACTTGTCGAAATGCAAGTCCTCAGGCCCTATCCTTCACCTACTGAATCAGAAACTCTGGAGTCAAGGCCCAGTCACCTGTGGTTTAAAACACCTTCCAGATGACTCTGATGTACACTCAAGTTGGAGAACCACTGCTCTAGTCAGTGCCCCGGCTCTTAACCAATCACTAGAGCTGAACTTTTCAGACTTCACTGTGCTCACAAATTGCATGCAGAGTTTGATTCACGGGCTGGTCCGTGGACCATACTTTGAGCACCAAGGCTCTATGCTATACTGCACTTCTATGTGCCTTCAGTGAGCAGGGCTATTGATTGAGTGCAGTTTTAGCAGCTTTAAATTCCCGATTTCTGAGAGCTGAGAGGCTATAAAATTCTAAATTGCCCTGAGTCTGTTTATCTTTTTCAAATGTTGGCCTGAACATAGTGGTGATGAAGAGAGAACTCAAGAGTCAGACTCCATTCCCTCTTCCTGAATACCAATTCAGAAGTGCTGAGTCTTGACAGATTTAACTTGGAAGTTCTCTTTCTTGAGTGAAAGGAGAGCCAAGGGACACTTTCATGGTATTCCTTGCCTGAATGAGATGTGCTAAATGACCAAAGGGAGCAGCAGCATGTGATCACCTTAAATAACTGGAAACAATTTTTGGAAATATTGGAGGAGACTGCCTTCTTCTGAATGACTTACCTGGGTGATCATATTACTAAACTACCAATTAACGTCAATGTGCTTCTCTAAATGTGTGTGTGTGGGGGGGGGTTGGGGGAGGTGGCCTAAAAATTTGTATTTGTAAAAGACTGTATTGCTGAATGGCTAAGCTACTACTAAGGAGCACACATTACTGTTTGTGTTGTTGTTGTTGTTGACATATAGGACTTTTTGCCAGGAAGCTATCTGTCCACTATGTAAGATGTTTGGGGTGTATTCCTTATACTTATGGCAAATGAAGATAAGGAGAAAAACACTGTATCTGACCATTGACTGGGTGGGGGTGGAGGGCTTTGTTGAATGGAGAGGATGCCTGGGCACCTCATGGCCCTTTTAATCTTCCTGAACTTCATGGAGAAGACAACGAGTAACACGTACACCCAGAGGAGGTATTATGCCTGCAGGGCATCCTTATTTGGGGCCAGAAAGGTCCAGACGTCTGAGATGCTGCTCCTCCAATCCCCAGCCCTCCTGGCCAAAGTGTTTTTAAAATTTTCATTCCTCTGTAAGGCCTTTGTGGAATATGTGGGGCAACCAGTACCCCCAAAATATAGCTCTTGTAGCCACCCCTACCTGGATGCATCCCACTAATTACTGGGTACTCAAAGGTATCCCATTGAGGTGTGGTGCCTACATGGAACTCTGCTTCAGGGAGTGCTGATGGGAATCGCGATTAGAAAGCATGGTGCTGTATGGAGCTCAAGGAAGAGGAAAGCTACAGGAAACTCAGACTGGCCACCGCTGTAGCTCACAGCAGTGTGGGCAGACAGAAGCATCTGTGTAGATCTCCGTATGATGCCAGGAGCTCTCAGGAGAGGCTCCTAACTATTGTAAAATGTCCATCCTTCCTGGCAAATGGAACTCAGGTAAAATGGAGGCAGAGTATCTCCATCTGGGGGTAGAATGAAGGAAGGCATTGCCTGGTGTACTTCATTGAGGCAGAGGGTAGGCTAAACAGTAGTTACGTGATCCCAGATTTAATCTGTCACCCGGTGGGTCACAGAAGGGAAGGCTGCCCCTCCACCTGCGGACTCAGGTACCTGGATCATAGAGAATGAGCATTGTCAGATCTTGGAACACCCAGTGTCTCTATTTAACCTAAAACATCTTTCCACCAGATTTTTAGTCCAAATCTTCAGACTGCTCATTTCTCCAATGCCCCCATCCCTGCCCACCCTGTTATTTTACAACCTATTTTCTCTCTTCAAACCTCCAACACTGCTTCTTCCATCCTCACTCTTAGTTCATGGCCATTTTTTGAGGAACTGGAACATTTCTTCTAAATTGTCAAAATTTGAGTGCAAATTATCAAGGGAAAGAAAAGCTTAATTGTAGTTAAAGTGATAAAAGCAGAATTTAATCAGGTTATTGCAGTTTGTGATAAGGGACCTCTCTGTAGAATTGGACTCTATTCTGAATACAAAGAAAGGTGCTGATTTATAACAAAGGAGCAGACTGGTGGGGTCAGTTGATGGAAAATTACTAAGAGGAAATATCAGGGATAAGGAATGATTCAGGAAAATCCACTGGAGAAAGGATACACTACCCACTCCATATTCTTGGGTTTCCCTTGTGGCTCAGCTGGTAAAGAATCCACCTGCAGTGTGAGAGACCTGGTTTTAATCCTTGGGTTTGGAAGATTCCCCTGGAGAAGGGAATGGCTACCCATCCCAATATTCTGGCCTACAGATTTCTGTGGACTCTATAGTCCATGGGGTGTCAAAGAGTCGGACACCACTGAACTTTCACATTCACTGGCTAAATTTACTTCATAGGGTTTTTGCTAAAGGTAGCCCGAAATTGTTAGTCATTCAGTTGTTTCTGACTCTTTGCATTCCTATGGACTCTAGCCTGCCAGCCTCCTATGTCTATGGAATTCTCCAGGCAAGAGTACTGGAGTGGGTTGCCATGCCCTCCTCCAGGGCATCTTCCCAACCCAAGGATTGAACCTGAGTCTCCCACATTTCAGGTGGATTCTTTACCATCTGAGCCACCATAGGAAGCCCCAAGGTAGCCTAGAGGGATTAGATATCACCTGAGGGATGGTGAGGGATGAAAAATTTAATCAGATATCAAGAGTGATAGATATCTAGAGTGGGGATTTTTGTTAAAATGACTTTAAATGGTTGGATTCTTACTAAAATTGGACAATGCAAAGATAAAC